GGGTTGGAAAACCTAGGGACAGCGCGACTCTGTTCTCCAGGGTAGCGATGACTCAGAATGGACCCTCTGGTTTTTGTTTGGGTACTGCTGCTACGGTTCCTCTGGGGTCCACCCCTAAAATGTCCACAGAAGGACACAGATATCTCAACTAGCTCTCTTGTCTTACGTGGTCTTATGTTCTGTGTTGTTTCCAAACTTACAGTTACAAAACAAAGCCTCACGTGTTTTCAACATGAGGAATGCTCAAAGCAAGTTTATATATATTTTGTCTCTTCTTAAAAAAAAAGTTTGCATAATTCCAATACTGATGCCTGTTAACTTTCAGTTAAGGGAGACTGTTGACCGGTTTTGGATCTTCTGTCCCCAAGAACAAGACAAGATTACACAGAAATGAAGAAGGTGACGGGTAGGTTTCATTGCAAGCATTCGGGCATGGAACTTGGAGGAACCAACCAGAGATCTAGAGTTGCCATCAACAAGTCGGTTGTTGTCATGGTTACCATCTAGTAGGTACCTACTCATTGTGATGCTAAGAACAAAAGAGCAAAACACTGAAGGTTCTGGTCCTTCCGACACTGGACCGAACCTGCTCTTATTGCTCAAAGGCAACTGGCTTAAGACCCACCCTTCCTTCAATGATATGTCTCATTGTTGTTGTTGTAGTTAGGTGCCATCGAGTTGGTATTGACCCATAGTGATCTTATGCACAGCAGAAGAAAATACTGCCCAATCCTGGGCCAGCCTCACTACTGTTGCCACGCTTGAGTCCTTCGATGCTGCCACTTGGCCAATCCATCTCATTGGGGGTCTTCCTCTTTCTCTTCTCCAGCGACTGGTCCCTTCTGCCAATATGTCCAAAGGATGAGAGATGAAGTCTGACCATTCTGGCCTCCAAGGAGCCCTCTGGCTTCACTTTTTCCAACACAGATCTGTTGGTTCTTCTGGCAGCCCATGGCACTTTCAATAGTCTCCTCCAACAAATCCATACTTTCATTCTAATGCACTTTCTACAAGTAACTTATGCATATTCATTAGATTAAAATTTTTGGTTGTTGTGTTGCATTTTCAAGAGCTAATTAACATCTTTGCAGGTGCAGTAAGCTTGGGAGAGAAGCTGTTGTGACCTTTAGGGGTGTGTTTGGATTCAAGATGTCAAAAGATGACAACCAGACAAAATGTTTTCATGCTGTGCTTGGACTGCCCAACCAAAGTGGTTAGACCCTTTTCTCATAGGGTTTATGTGGTTGTAGTCACAAGCTAACAACAGTACAGTGAGGAACCGTCAATATTTGTGAAGACCAGTTAAGGCTGATTTCCTCAAAGAACAAAGCTAAGGCCCCCTAAATGTTTTTAGGAGGGCAATGATAGGTACAGTGAACCCACAAACAGAAATGTCACTGTACTTTGATACTGCTTGACAACAAACCTTCTGATTAAGCTATGTATAATGACCACCAATATACTGGCCAGTGGACAAAACTGGCAAGAAATCCAGAATTCTGCAGCTATTTAATATGAGTTGGATTTAGGCGTGGGGTGGGGGGCGGGAGTCAAGTTTTGGGACCTTGATTTTGTAAGGAGTTTTACAGACGCATGAGAATACGTTTTAATTCTCCAGGAATCCTAATTTCTAGAACCATGAAGTTGGGGTGATTTTTGCATATTTTCTTGAATGCTGAGCCTTTGAGAGGCTGTTTGAAGGGTCAACAAGGCTTTTGTGAGACTAGTATACGGTGTTCTGTGGAAAAACTGCTAAGTGTTTGGAAACACACCTCAAGGTTTAGATGGGGAACAATGTGCTGAGGGTAAATCAGTGGTTATAAGAATTGTTCTTTAAGAGGATGCTGTATAAAAATTCTTCCTCACCACCAATGTGCTCCTCCAACCTGAACCCATGGGTGTTTCAAGGTGAAGGTGGTAAGATGTGAGGTCGAGATTTTTGAGATACTCTCATCTTCGGAACATTTCTGACTCTAGTCCAGGATAAACACTGGACTGGTGATTGCAATGTCGACTCTTCAATCCCATCAGGGTGCTCCTCAGAAATTCTATACATAGGATCGACATAGAGTCAGTTCCAAGTCTTAGCGACTCTATACAGGGTCACTAAGAGTCGGAATGAACTGGGTGACAATTAAGAACAGTCCAAACGTGGAGCCCTGTTGTAGCACTATGAGATTCGCACAGAACTGCTCATCACAAGGTCAGTGGTTCAAATCCACCAGATGCTCTTGAGGAGAAAGAAGAATCTGTCTGTTCCAGGAAAGCTCGCAAATCCTATATGGGGTTGCTGTGAATTCGAATTGACTCCGTGGCAGGAGATTGGGATTGGTTTGGGGTTAATCAAACTATTAGCCTGATTTGCAAATTGCATAGCCCAAAAATGCCGATCAGTTTCTAGTACTGGCGTCGTGGGATTTTTGTTTTCATACAGAGAACAGGTTTGTGCTGCCTGCCCTCCTCTGCAAATGCAGGGGCAATGCTAACTAGTCCTTGTTTTGTTCAGCAAACATGGATCCAGAGCCGGCCGCCATCTCTTTCCCACCTCCATCCCATACCATCCTGTTCTGTTACACAGAGCCCTAGCGTGGCGCTATGGGTAAGCAAATGGGCTGCTCACTGCAAGGTTGGCAGCTCAAACGCACCAACCACTTCTTGGAAACCCTATACAGGGTGGCTTTGAGTCAGAACCAACTCGACAGCACTTAACAACAACAACAACAACAACAAAGAAGCCATTCTTCAGAGATGCTATATAAGTCGGATCCGATGGGATAGCACTTAACAACTAGACTGGTCCACTGGGTTCTTTGAAAGCGCACTGTGGCTTTATCCACCTCCCTGCTTCCTGCTCCTCCACCTCAGAGTTGGAATGGACCTTCAGTAAAAGATGGAGAAGATTTGATTTCCAGTTGCAAACGACAGAGTAGAAGCTTCTGAGGGCCGGGGATCCTCAGAGACTCATGGGAGTATCTCTGTCACACAGGATGAAAATAGATTGAGAGATGTGGCTCAGTAGAACTGACTAAGTGAGAAAGGACTAAATAAATGTAAGGTTAGGGTATGGGTAGGAGCAAGGTATGAGGGTTAGGGTTAGGCCTAGGGCGAGGACTAGGACCTCACTGAGTATTAGAAGTGTGGCTACATAGGACCAGTGTGAGGGGTAAAGGTTTGCCGAGGGTTAGGAGTAGGACTTGCTGTGGTTTTTATGGTCACAGTTGTTGCTGGTGTTCGTATGGAGTTACTGAGACACTTCTAGCTCAGAGTGACCCTGAATAGGAGCTCCCCAAAGCTGTAAATGTTTTACGGGAGCAGAAAGCCTCATCTTTCTCCTATGGAGCAGTTGGCGGGTTTGAACTGCTGACCTTGTAGTTAATAGTCCAGTGCTTATCCTACAATACCACCTAGGGTCTTTACTTTTATAACTGTTGTTGTTGTTAACACCTGTCAAGTCGGTTCTGAATCATAGTGAACCTGTATAGGGTTTCCAAAGAGCGGCTGGTGAGTTTGAATGGCCGGCCTTGAGGTTCAATCTGACTTTGCGGTCCAATGCTTACCCTACAGAGTGACCCCAGGACTGCTGTTATAACAGATACTATTATGATCATTAAGGATCTCTAGAGGCGTACTGGTTACAAGTCCGGCTACTAACCTTGAGGTCAGCAGTTTGAAACTACCAGCAGTCACACGGGCGAAAGATGAGGCGTTTTTGCTCCTGTAAAGACTTACAGCCTTGGAAACCCTGTGCAGGTTTCCTATGTATGAGTTAGGAGTCCTGGTGTGGCGCTGTGGGTTAATGGCGCTGGACTGCAAAGTCAGTTTGAACTGTAAGGTTGGCAGTTCAGGCTCACCAGTCACTCCTTGGGTTGTGATGGGTCGAAACCACTCGACGGCACTTAACAACAACACTGTGTATGAGTTGGAACTGGCACATAACCATGACCATGAAGTGGGAGGGGCTGTTCAAAGTGCGATGAAGACAAACCGAGAGGGACAGGTTCTTGGCCACACTGCCCCATCTTTGCAGCTCCTTCCCAGTCATTTTTTCTGCTGGACAAAGTCCCAGAACCCTGGTTTCTTTGCTTATGCTTAACAAAGACCAGCTTGTAAAATAGACTTGTAAACTACTTGGTCACAATGTTTAAAAAAAATCAGCACCATTGACAGGCTTCTACGGGATTCTGGGAGATCTGAGTCATGCACCAGACATAGCCGGCAAACTCTACTGCAGGGAGCAAAACCTCAAACTCACAGCACCAAGAAGCATCATTTTCAAACTTACAATTCAGATCCAAATGAATGAAACACCAGAACAATGAAGACCTAAGGCTACAGTCCCAGAAACACACACCAAAGTCCTTTCAACCGCAAGCCAAAAAGTTCAGCTGTATCCAGATGAACGAGACGTGTTATTGCACACGAAAACAACAGCAATGAAACCACACAAGAGCTTCTTCAAGGCCATCCAATTCACAGATATCTAGACATCCGAAGCAATATTTTCCCATGAAAGTCGGGCTAACCCAACGCACCGACATGCCTGGCAAAGAACAAAGTATCATACCTGTGGCTGCGGTCAACTCTCAAATGATAAAAGGCACATTTTCACTCGAAAAGGCTTTGTTGAAATTTTTTTTAAAAAGTAGTATTCAGGTAACTCCAAGATAGAAAAGGGCTGTGCATACAAACTTCATTTTCCTACGATGGTCATGACACTCCAGTTATGTGAAGAAAGGTTTGGATTCATCCAGACAAAAGGAGTGTCATTAAAAACTCAAGCTGTCCGATGCCTGGATCAAAGGAAAGTATTAAAACATACATACGGATTTTCAAGGAGCAGATGTATTCAATGACAAAAAAAAAGCAACCCATGGAAAGTAGAGTTTCTGAGAGGTTTAAGAAACACACCTGTAATGCAATAGCCCCATCGGCATACGTAAGGCATAGACTGTCATCATGTGCCCAGCACTGTAATTGACAAGATGTAATGCATCACTTACCTAGAACTCCCAGCCGGTAATTGACAGCTATCACAATGACATTTCCGTAGCTCGCCAAAATACTGCCGTCAATCATGTTGCCAGTACCTTCCATGTAAGAGCCGCCATGAATATAAACCATAACTGGCTTCTTATTGTTCTGATCGTGTATGTCTGGAAAAAAAAAGCCAGGTAAGGAAAATAAAGAACCAAACAGATTAACAAATGCTACAAAGAAATCAAGGGACAGGCTGTGGGCAGAACCAATTTGTAATCACATGCATGTGTGTCGAGGATGGAACGCTCTTGGGAGAATTCCAATGCCACTGCGTATTGAGATGTATGGAGTCGTTCTGAGCAATGGGTATGCCTACTGAAATTCAACAAAGCAAAACTCACGAAGTAGAGCACAACCGGGCAGTGGGTGGTTCTGTTGTACATAGGGTCACTATGATTCAGAACTGACTTGAGGGTACAACAACCACCATAGAAACTATTGTGTAGACTTCATCATTATGATTATTTTTTAATCACTTAAGGCTGTCAATTCCAAAATATGGCCCAAACTTTGTGAGTCAAACTAAATAATCGTGTGGTGTCCAACACAAAAATGTATTTTCGTCATTGTAAAATCAGCTGAAAAAATGAGTGTTACATTTTAATGGAATTCCCATCATTACGGGCGTATGTCAAATCATGTTTCATTTTAAAAGGAAAAAAAACCAAAAATGGAGATATTACTGATAAAATATACACTCAATAAATGGCAAATGATACATGAGGAACTCATCGTCTACAAGTTATCAACAGATGAAAAATGCTTTGTTTGTTAATGTCTCAACAATGGTGGTTGCCCTAAGTTTGTTAATTGGCTGTAGTGAAATCCCAACATATTTTAAATTAAAACAAATTAAAAAAAACAAAGGCATGTGATGAAATCTGTGAGAGGCCCAAAGGCAAAAAAGTGGAATTATCTAAATGCACGATCTTCCCAGAGTATGCCATCCCTGCTGTGTTCTGCTGCCAATGTGTATCCTTGGCATTAACAAAATGCAAAACACATTTTGAAAAATGGCCTGTGATGATAGAAATCTGGAGACAGCCTGGAGAATTTTTAGCGTGTGCTTTCGGTAAACGTCTAGGGCAACGAACCAGGGCAAACCAGTCTGCCTCCGTTGGAAGCTAAAGAAAACACTTCAAGATGTTTTTGTCACACTAACTCCTGGAGACCATTTTGATGAATTGGAAAGCGATTCTTCTGAGAGAAGTAGCAGAGATGAAATGCTGATGGCAGTTTCGGCTGGCATGAATCCTCATTCATGATCTTGAATATGTTCAGTGAGTGACAAGAAGCTGAGAGCAGGCATAAGAAATCCACAGGTTCTAAACATGCGTGAATCACAGTAAAGCACACAAAAAGTGTGTCAAGATTCCCCTGTTTCCAAGTTACCCACTAAAAAAAACAGTCTCTGATTTTCTCGTATATAAATATCCAACTGCAAACAGGTGAGCATTAGTCATCAAATCTCTGAGACCAGAAGAACTTTGATGGTGCCTGGCTACCAGTTCCAACGATACTGAAACATTAGAAGATCCCACATAGAATGGGAGAAAATGTGGAACATTCAAAATGTGGTCTTTCTGGTCAGGATGAGACTGAAAGAATTGAAGATTATGGCTCTTGAACACCTTACAAGCCTGAAACGGAACTCTTGCTCTTGGCCCAATTTTCGGCCAATCAATAAATATATTGGTATATAAGGGGGACAATAACACCAGTAAGTTATGCTCATAATGGAATGGTCAGTCATTGGAAATCAAAAGGGCAACATTTTCCTAAGGACAAAGTTGAGAAGGGACGGGCAGGTGGGTGGAATGGAAACAGGAACCTCAGGGAGGAAGTGGGATAGCTGTTGTTGCAGGGAGGAGATTGTAATCTCTGAGATGAAACAAAGTAGATGACTTGTTGAATGTAAAACTGATGATAAGCTCTGTAAACCTTTACTCAAGTCACATTGTAATTTTAAAAAAAAAAACACCCAACCGCAGCTCACACTTCCTTCACTTTTTATTACACATAACCACTATAGATTTTTTTTCTTCTTCTTCTTTTTAAACATTAAAGAATGATGTGTCTTACACGATCCAATACACGATCCAATATTTTTTTCACCCTAGCTTGAACTGATCTTCTGGTCCTTATCGATTTCAGTAGTAGCCACTGTTGCAGATTAAATATTAAGAAGAAAAAAGAGCAAGTAGAGTTTTTCAATGTCTCTTATTTTCTCATTTAAAAATCCAATGACAAGCAGGTGAACATCAGTCTCCATGACACTGAGACCAGAAGAACTTAGATGGTGCCCAGCGACCACAACCATCCTGCACTGAAAGAGGTCGCATTAGAAGGTCCTAGACAGAATGGGAGAAAATGAGGAGCAAAACTCAAAATTATAAAACAAGTTTTATAATTTTGCTTTGAGGTTTTTTCCCTTCAAGAGTTTTATCAATGAGCATCTCTTAGCATTCCTGAAAGAGGCTGAGGTTTTCTTGAGCTTCTGGGTGTCACTGCTGGCTGCAGGATGAGTTCAAAATACAAAGCAGAGAGTGGCGTTGCAAAAAGGAAATTACACTGCATCTTAAGCATGCTAATGCCTCGTGGCACGCCTTGTATAAAGAGATGCTAATGATGCCAAGGAAATATCTGCTAAGAAAACAGCAGAGCTAATTGAAAATGAAAATGGGATAAGGGATAAGACGCTTGCTTTGGTCTGGTTTGGACATTGATCAAAACGGTAGGTATTCTGAAACTCTGGCCCAGCGGAGAGCATAAGGGATGAAGTAATGGAGGGCAAAATAAGATCCTCAGAGATATTCTAACAAGCTTGCTGAGATAGTGCCAGGTCTGTGAACTTAGGGCTTCATCAAGAAATCTCGTTCAGAGAAGACCAGGTTTATAAACCCTGCTGATCAAATTTTGTTTCTTGGAGCGCAGACGGTTTTATGAAAGCAATTCAGGTGGGGTAGCAAAACTGAAGCCAGTGGTACTTGCGGGGGAGGGGGTTTTGAAGCTGACAGGCAAGGCTGGCTGACAGTCCACTTTTGTGGCTTCAGTGGCCTCTGGGCTGATACAAGTAGAGGGACATTACAGTCCTTCTTCATTCTCTGTGTGTCTTTAAGGAAAATGAAGGGACTTCAGAGCGCTTGGCTACCCAGATGTTGAAAAAAAAAAAAAAAAAATGTGCTTTTAGCTTTTATCCACTTTACAAACCTTCTCCACACATCAACATTTGTTTATTTATTTCAGCTTTTTCTTTTTTTGTCATGTATTCTGCCAAAAAGGTAGAATATACTGAGGTGGTTGTCTGCCTGCATTCCACATACCTTCCATCTTTAAAAACAAAAAACCAAAAACCCCACCATTGCTTGCCTGGTAGTTAATTTGTCAAGCAATTTAGGAGCCTTTGAGAGGAATTTTCCATAGCAACAGAACATTCCGGGGGAAGTCACATGGTCTCAACAAGTGCTTTGGAATAAAAGGAAGGATGGCTATGGCTAGCTTTTGAACCTCTCTTTGAATTCTTAGAGACCCCTCTGTTTTGGAGGATTTTTCATTACATGTTCTTAGAGCCCCCTCCTGAAAGAAACAACAACATCTGGTTAAAACAACTTTTTGATGTACTTCACTGTGAGACAGAGCTGAGTGCTTGAAACCTATGTTCGCAATCAATGATTGGAAAGAAAAGAAAAAAATGTCAAAAAACCAAATACCAGCAGCCCTCTAAAAAAGTTTCCCTTGAGCTGTCTGGACATTTGGAAGATTCTAAAATGACTTTTGGAAGAAAAGAAAGTAAACATGCATATTTTCAAACTCCAGGTTCTCTTCATGTGATCAAGCAAAAGAAAAAACAAAAAAGAGGGAAAGGAAAAAACAAAAAAATGCGAGCTTTCTTAGAGCATTTTATTAGAAATCAACTTTATACTTTCTTCTCCGAAATGATTTGCAGGTATTAACATGGTTAGTAGGATAAAAAATGGAATCTGTCTCTCAAACAAGGAGAAAATAAAGAAGTACACCACTGTGTACTAATTTTAAAGAAATAAAGGCAAAACAAGTAGAAATGAAAAAAAAATATATATATATATAGATATAAATGTGTGTGTGTGGAGACAGAGAGAGAGAGAAAAGATATAAAATCATGCATCAAATTTGAGCTTTGGGGGAAAAAAAAAAACAACAGCAAAAATACCTTCATCGTCCCCACGATCATTACTGGTAATATCATCTCCATTTTTCTTTGTATTCGCTCCTGATGGGGGCACGTCACAGTGAGAAGGGGAATAAAGGGAAAAAAAAGAGAATTCAAAAACAACAGGTTTGCAAAAAAAAAAAAAAAGTAAGAGAGATACTATCCAGTAAAGGTATACAAAAAAAGAGTAACGCAAAAAAGTTGACATCAGTAACATTGAAATCTCAAAAAGAAAAAAAAAAAAAAAGAAATCGGGCAGATGCAAAATGCATAGAAACAGAAAAGATGTCAAGAACAAAGTCAAAATGGTATCTGCGAAAAATCAATTAAAAAAAAAAAAAGTATCTATCCTGTGAAAATGCAGTTTAGGGGTTAAAATGAGATTATTGCCCAAACAAAACCCACACACAAAATAAAAACCCCCATTGATGTGACTTTAGAATAATAAAAACAGAGAAAATCAAATTATTTGAAAAGGGATTCCCACATTTTAACAAGAAAAGCGTAAGAAGTGTTGGAAGTTCCTTTAATTTCCAGGTCATTTAGTTGGTTTGTTGAAATGGCATTCATTAGAGACGGATTAGGAAATTTTATGAGAGAAACAGAGAAACAAGAAGTAAGATGGGAAAACCCTTAGTGGAAATACCTTACCTATGCTTTACGCTTAATTTAAAATCCACATTAGTTTCATCTGTAAGAATTTTAAAACACGCTTTTAAAAAGAAATGAAAATGTCACTAATTGATTTAAAGCACTAACAATTCACCTTAAAGTATGTTTGGCTCTCCCCTCATTCCTACTCCCCATTTTATTACTATAAATCATCCTCCACCACACAAGAAGAAGTACACACTTGGTGTAGAAGCAGTTCCGACTCATGGCAACCTTGTACGGCAGAGTAGAACTGCCTCAGAGGGTCTTCCAAGTGTTCAACTTTAAGAAAGCAGAATGGCATATCTTTCTTCTGTGGAGTGGTTGGGTGGATTCGAACTGCTGATCTTTTATTTAGTAGTCCAAAGCTTAGCCACACGCTAACAGGGCTTCATACACGTTCAATGTTATTGTCGTTGTTAAGTGTCGATGAGTTGGTTCCAACCCATAGCGACCACGTACAGGGTTTCCGAGGAGCTGCTGGTGAGTTTGAACCGCCGACCTTAAGGTTCACAGTGACATTGCAGTCCAGTGTATTAAAACACAGCGCCAAACCAGGACTGCTCCGTTTTCAATAAGTATTGCTGAAATCAAATTAAAAAGCCTAACCTTCTTACCTGTATTTAAAATAGTATTATTTTTTGAACATTGTTATTATTAGAATTTGTAAAAAACAAACAAACAAACAAAAAAGCAATTACAATAAGAAAGACAAATGAAAATGAAGTCACCTACCTGAATCACCCCCAAATATATTATCTTCATAAGAATTTTCAGGAAAAGGAAAATGGAAGGTGAGAAACATAGTCACACCAAATAGAACGTCGTAAGTCCTTAAAATGGCTTATATTTTCCAAATATTGTTATTGTTAAGTGATTTTGACTCAGTATCAACTCACAGGGTCAACTGGTGGGTTTGAATCATTGTCTTTACAGTTAGCAGCCCAGTTCTTATTCTACAGTGCTACAACAGGAGGCAAAATATTGAATGTTGCTTTAATCGGTTACCTAATTGCCTCGGTTCTACATTCTTTTCTACATAGATGGAGCCCATACAAGTAACAACAGCCTGTCCAGAATCAATTAACTACAGTCACTGATTGGTCATGCTGTGCTCAGTGAAATGGATTACTGTTGGTGTTGTTAAATGACCTCCAGTAAATTATGACTCATACAGACCCCATATATGGTTTCCAAGGGGCAACTGGTGGAGTTAAGCGTTAAGCTGCTGACCTTGTGATTACCAATCAAGTGCTTATCCTACAGCACCGCACCATGCGAGATAATGTAAAGCTAGATCCCACTGAGTGATCTTGGCTACCTGCACCACCCAAGGATTCCAGAATGAACGCACCAGCAAAACTGAATCAATTCTCAATCAAGTGCAATATGACTCAGAGTAGAACTGTGCTCCACAGGGTTCTCAGTGGATGATTTTTCATAAGTAGATCCCACTCATGGTGTCCCCGTGTGTGTCAGAGTAGAACTGTGCTCTACAGGGTCCTCGGTGGATGATTTTCCATAAGTAGATCCCACCCATGTTTGTCCCCGTGTGTGTCAGAGTAGAACTGTGCTCCACAGGGTTCTCAGTGGAGGATGTTTCATAAGTAGATCCCACTCATGGTGTCCCGTGTGTGTCAGAGTAGAACTGTGCTCCACAGGGTCCTCGGTGGATGATTTTCCATAAGTAGATCCCACTCATGGTACCCCGTGTGTGTCAGAGTAGAACTGTGCTCCACAGGGCTCTCAGTGGATGATGTTTCATAAGGAGATCCCACTCATGGTGCCCCATGTGTGTCAGAGTAGAACTGTGCCCACAGGGTTCTCAGTGGATGATGTTTCATAAGTCGATCCCACTCATGGTGCCCCATGTGTGTCAGAGTAGAACTGTGCTCCACAGGGTTCTCAGCGGATGGTTTTTCATAAGTAGATCCCACTCATGGTGCCCCGTGTGTGTCAGAGTAGAACTGTGCTCCACAGGGTTCTCAGTGGATAATGTTTCATAAGTCGATCCCACTCATGGTGCCTGGTGTGTGTTAGAGTAGAACTGTGCTGCACAGGGTTCTCAGTGGATGATTTTTCATAAGTAGATCCCACTCATGGTGCCCCATGTGTGTGTCAGAGTAGAACTGTGCTCCACAGGGTTCTCAGTGGATGATTTTTCATAAGTAGATCCCACTCATGGTACCCCGTGTGTGTCAGAGTAGAACTGTGCCCCACAGGGCTCTCAGTAGTGGTGACCTTTGATGGAAGCAGTACTCCAGTTCTTCCTGAAGCATCTCTAGGTGGATTCAAACCACTCACCTTTCACTGACTTGTTGAGTGCTCTAACTCCCAAGGTCTCCTAAATGAACATCACTGAAACCCGTGGACTAAGAATCATCCTCTCGCTGTAGGACGGAGTAGAACGCCCCCATCAGGTTTCCCACACTGCCATCTTTGCAGAAGTAGCTTATCAGGTCATTCCCCTGAGGAGAAGCTGGAGGGTTCAAACCTCCCATTGGGCTCAGAGGACTGCCTTGTCGAGTTTCCAAGGCTGGTATTTCATGTTCAGTCCTTTCTCCTGTGGAGCCACTGGGTGGATTTGAACTGCCAACCTTTCGATTTCAGCTAAATGCTCAACTCTTCCCCCACTAGGACTTTGCCTAAACAAAAGTGCAATGTAGGCAATTTTGCATGACTTAATTCATTGATGGTGGCAGCAGGCAGCGCTGATTTGCAGTGATTGTTTGTTTTTGTGGAACACAAACATATTGGCACCAACAACAATTTCAATCTGTCAATATATATCCGGCATCCTGATGTGGCATTATAGGACAAGCACTGGACTGCTAGCAGCCAGGCTGGCAGATAAAACTTCCAAGCACTCCTCAGAAACCCTATACAGGGTGGCCATGATTCCAAATCAACTCGATGATACTCACAACACCGTACATTCATTAACCATGGCTCTGGGAAGAAGGAAGATTGTGTTCTAGAATTTCACTTTGTGGCGTTCATCTGACAGAATGTAGAGTTTAGCCAAAGAGTGAACAAACTACTGTCTTTCATACACAGCTAAAAATTATCATGAGATTGAGGTCTCCGTGAATTAATAGCATTATACAAAAATATATCCATGTCCAAAAACCAAACAGTCTAAAGATTTGTTCTCCATCAAAGTACCTCAGCTGTCCTTTGGGTAATTTCGTTATAGCTCATCCCAAGAAAACTTATTTCTAAAGCTGTCTTATGGACTAAATTTACTGGTAAAATGTGGTTTCTAAAATATAAAAGGTACATCCTGTTTTGTTTCTTTTTTTAATTTTAGAGAAATATACTTCAGGATACACTGAACCGTCTGTTAGAAAGCAGGTCTTTTTTGTTTCTAAAATATATTACTTCATTTAAATAACAAGTTTTAAAAAAATTTCTATAGAAAGAAGCCACCTGAGTTCTCCAGTGTTCTTTTGTTAAAGCAAGGACAGATGTGGGAAGTGACACAGTTGGAGTCAAAAGACACACACACTGGATTAGGAAAGTATATTTGGAGATGAAGCTCATTCCCACCAGCGACATTTGTTCCTTTAAAGTCAGATTCCACTACCCATCTGCTGGAGTCCTGGTGTGGCGCTGTGGGCTAATGCATCAGACTGCAAAGCCATTTGAACTACAAGGTTGGTGGTTCAAGCTCACCAGCTGCTCCTCGGAAACCTTATACAGGGTTGCTCATTATAGGTGGGAACCGACTCAATGGCACTTAATAACTACAACCTATCTGTCGAAATCCAGGATAAGCACTGGATTGCTAGCCACAATGTCAGTGATCAAGCACAATTTCAGCTTTGACCCTGGAATCTAGGTCATCAGTATTTCAGATACCAGCAGGGTCATCCATGGGGACAGCCTTCAGCCATCCACGTGGACAGCCTTCCAGACTGAAAGAGGCTATGAAGAAAGGTTTCCTGAACTGCCTCCAAAATTAATGAAAGGAACACCCTACGGACCACAGTGGAGCATTGTCTAACTCATGTGCTTATGACACATCATCAGGGAGGGGCCTGCAGGTGGAGGAAGACAGCGTGGTTGGTCAAGTTCAGAGTCAGCGCGGTGACGGAGGTGTTCAGAGAGAGAAAGCAGCCACAATGAACCTGAACTCATTATTTGCCCAAGTGTTGCACTGTGGTGGCTTGCATAAATGGCTGTGATGCTGGGAGCCAGGTTGCCAGAATCATAGGTAAACAGCAAGGTCACCCAAGGTGGACAGGTTTCAGAAGAAACTTCAGAAAAGAATAGGAAGATCTACTTCCAAAAAGAAGCCAATGGAAGTCTTATGGCTCTCTAGAGAACACAGTCCAATTCACCTACTTCGCATTTTGTCATCGGAAGAGGTCCACCGCCATAGTAGGGTGTTGTGTTTTGATTATCAG